GCGTGAACAAACGCTTCATCACTGGTCGGGTGCACAGTGGGGTTAATTAGGGGGTTGATGGTGGGCTGTGCCGCTCTTCTGCGAGATCTGTGTCCTGGCTGGTTGTTGTGGGTTCTGCTCAGTCCGTGCATCAGCCGGGGGAGTGGCGTTGTGCGGACAGGGAGGTTTATAGCCACAGTGAAGGTCCAGGTTGTCGCCATATGACAACGTTCAGACGTGGTTTCTGGTTTAAGCAGCAACTCAGATCCGTGTACTTCCTGTGTTGTCATCATCCCTTTATGTTCTGAAAAGGAAAAAAAAAAGGGTTCCATGAAACCATACTCACGAGGCAAAAAACTTGCTAAAGTAGTGTAGAAAACACTAAATTTTAGAAAGGAAAATTTCAGTACTGGCTGGTAATTGCATTAACTATGTAGTAATTTGCAAACTTCCTTGTGTTATGTTCTGGCTTGGTGTGCATGTGCAGAAGCTCGTCAGGAGAAGAGAGGATCGCTAGGTCTGCCGGAGGTGGAGGGAACAGCTGGTGGCTTGGACTTGTGAAATTGTGAGGGGGAGCATGAGACTCTCTTCAGGGCAGGGTAAGCCAGAGGGAGGAACCCAGAGTCTCAGACGGTAGTTGGAGGTGTTCCTGTGGGAAGAGCTGCCTCTGCACAGCAAACAGAAGTCAGACTTTTGTCACGTTTGCTAGTGCAATAAGACCTATTGGTTTTTTCTTGGTGGGGACTAAAATGAAATGCAGTTTCTTTGAGCTGTTTTACCTGGCAGCTAGGCCAAACCCCCAAATACTTCATGACATCATATTGCATCCCTGAGACTGTGGGCTGTTTCGTTCAAGAATTCACATGGAGCGGTGTCACCAGGGTTCGTGTAACTGTCGTATGGACCATGGACAAACGGTTGATTTTCCTGACATGTGGTCAGTCTCCTGAAATCTGCCTTGTTTGCGGTGCCCTGCGAATTCAGCACTATTTAACCCTGGCGACAGCCGAGTCCCAGTGCAGCTATTAGAAAAGACTCTGCTGATTTAAGTGGGGTTTGGATTGGGCCTGCGGTGGTCTGTACATGCTGGGTAAGCTGGCAGGAGCTTATCTCACTGCTTGGAATCACAGCTTAAAATCACTCCTTTGCCCACCCCCGTCTCTTTTTTTGCCCCATCTTTCTCTCTCATGCATTCTGTTTGCGTGTGGAGGAGGTTATCTGTGCAGAAGCTGAGCTGACTAAATTAATCATTTTAGGATTTGAACATCAACTACTGGCATACGCAGTTACTTCAAAACCAGCTCTCAGGACGTCCTCCCAGATGTCTAACTGCAAAGCTTTATGCTCTGACACCTTTTGGTTCAGGTTTCCGTTCTGAGTTGCCGTTTCAGCTGTTGCAAGCACGTAAATTGTAGGCGCTCTGTTTGGATCCGTGATTTTCATCTTCCGATGTGCAGACTGCTGAGGGTTGAAAGTGGCGTGGGGGTGATGTCCTAGAGGTATCTCGTGACACTGGGGTTTAAATTTTCAATGACTGGTATGGCCAAGAAGTCATACTCCACAGGAGGCCTCTGGCATGTGCAGTCCCTCAAATCTTTCAGTCTTCCATCGACATGATCGTGTTTTGGTAAGATTTCTGTGCCGCTGGGAGATGATGTGTGGCCACTTGTTTCCTTTCATTCCTCCGTTCCTGCAAGGAGCAACACATCTCAGTTGGAACCCTTAGATTCAAAGCTACGGGCTCGGGGCAAGGGGCTCCCATCCCACGAACGACCTCACCTTCCGAGCAGTGTTACGTCAAGCTACCGCACAACTGCTCCGTTCTCAGTTTAAGAAAGACGGCTTTGTCTTCCCTGGTAAACTTGGATGACGGCTTTTGAAATAATGGATGGATTTTAAAACAATTAGTGAAAGTAGATGTTGAGCCACGTGCCCTTTGCTGGTTGCTCTCAGTCGTTCTGTCAGCAGGGGCTGTTCTGCGACTGTGGGAAAGTGAGGAGGGGTTGTAAAAACCCTGCTGGGAGGAAGTGTGGGAAAAACTGAGTCATCCCAGTGTAGCCTTTGTTGCCCCTGAAGCCGAGACAATTTGTTTTTAATGCGTCGGGGCGTGGCTGGGGAGGCAGCAGGCTGGCACCAGGCAGGCTGCAAGTGCATGCTTGGCAAGACCTGCGTGGGGATGCTGCTTGGGCAGCTGCTGGGGGAGCCCCGGTGATCTCAAATCGCTGTCCCAAGTGGATTATTTTTGTCGTATTTCTAACGTAATAATACACCAACTATATTTTATAACAAGGGAAAATACAGGAGAAGGAACAGTTACTGAACATCCTGTTGTGGGTGTCGTTTGTGTGAGTCAACAAGGGATTGTTTTGGGTGCTTTTGGTTTGATGCTGAACTGTGGGCTCCCTCTTTGTCTGCTGAATTTGAACTTCTTTTTTCCTAAAATAGCTGTATTTATGTTTGTGACATTATTTGTCACAAACCTGCCTGGGAACCCAGTTTGCTCTGTAGACATATGTGTGCTTTTCTTTTTCAGTGACGCTGAGCAACCCCGTGGAAAAAGGTACGTGCGTTCAGTTTACTGCTGCTCACTCAGCCCTTGTGTAGAAAGAGTCGCAAACGTTCTCATTGAAGTACCAAAAATACTTCCCATCCTTTTTTTTTAGTCTTCCCTCCTTTCAGTGTTTCCTTCCTGTCATTACACACTGGTGAAGCGTACAGCCTGCGTTGTTAGGCACCCTGTAACTTTTGGAAGTGCTGGGAAGGAGGAGGAGTGCTGAAGTGGCCACTAACCCCTTGCTCGGGTGGGGCGGGGCCTCCAGCCCCCCAGCGGGGGACCAGCCTCGTCAAGTGATCCTGCTGCTCTGCCCAACGCGATCGGCGACCTCACGATCCTGCGCATTCCAGAGGATTTCAGCTTTCCTCCTCCCCGCTTAGCCGCAGCATAGGCAGAAGAATGCGAGAAGTCTTTGATCCCTTCTGCTCTTTCAGGAAGACTTCTCTCTGTCTGTGTACACCCACACACCGTTTCTCCCTTTTCTGTTTCACAGTTTCAGAGCTGATTTTACAAACCAAACAGAAAAGACCAGTTCTGTTTGTGCCCTGCCAATGTTTTTTCACTGTTTTATTTGACCTTTCAGTGAAAGCTGATTTTAATGTTTTCTCGTGAGAGGCTTTTTGCTTGGTTCTGTTGACCACTACCCGTACCTTGAGCGGTACCTCAGGAGCTTTCAGTTTCTACCACAGACGAGTTCCAGCAAAGGTTTCTGTCTCATCGTTATCTGCCTTGAACGCTTCCGGTTTCCTTTGGTAGGACAGGCTGCGAGACGTTCTGAGGTCCCAGGAGTGGGATCGTGAGGTCGCCGATCGCGTTGGGCAGAGCAGCAGGATCACTTGACGAGGCTGTTCCACTGGTAGGGTGCTGGAAACCACAGTCATGTTCTCCGAGCAAGGGGTTAGTGGCCACTTCAGCATCCATCCTCCTTTTTCCCGGAGGTGCTCTGGAGGCTTTTGGCTGATGCAGGCGGCCTCTTACTTTTGCTTCTTCTGAAGGACAGGAGTAGGTGTAGCGTTTCCGCCTGGCAGATTGCTCCGTGCAGAACAATGCCGGCTGACACGTTAAAGATCCCCCAGATTGCTGCGTCAAGGCAGTTCTCTCTCCACTGCAGAGCTGTCCTAGTCTTTAAACTATAGCAGGATGATACTAATTCAGGAGAAAGTTGTTAGCTGCCTAATCTATTAGTGCATCTCCAGGTCAGCTTCCTCTAACATGCCGCTCTATTGCTTTATCAACAAAATTAAACCTGTTGCAAGATTTATCTCCTTAATTTAAAAATGACTGAGCTCCACCTGCATGTAGTGTAAGGATAACATCTCGAGCAAACTTAGGAACATGTTAATGAATTAGCCTGGGTTCACAGATCATTCACACAATCCATCGCGCTCTCCTGAGGCGTGTCAGCGCGTTTGCCATCTCGTTAGGAAGTCTCAAAGCCGTTTACATTTTCACACAGTCTTGCCTGAGAAGTTAAGGAAGGGTTTGGATTTTAGACTTCTCTTTCCATGAGTTGTAGTCACTTCAATCTTAGCTTCTTGAATTTGAAGCTTAAATGAAATGGGGAAAATGAGGTGGTTGTTATGATGAAACGGTGTGTTTAAATAAAACTGTCTTGTAGTCGTTTGATAATGTCTCAGGGAGTGGAGCATTGAAGACACCACGACCAGGTCTGAGTAGCAGACAGAGCTGGCCTTTCCCTGCTATGCCCAGGGGCTCTGAAGCCAAGTTTGCCTGTTGAAATAAGCTTACCCTGAGGGTGCTGGATTCCCTGCGATAATGTTGTGCCTAGTGGATTGCAACTCTCTCTTAGTAACCTCAAGACCTGTTCTGCTCAATTTGAGGGATGTTTTCCTCATTTACTTTATTGTACCAACTGTGGCCAATCTAAAAGATGTCTGATAAGAGATCTGATTTTTTCTGGTGATGCAAAGTTCTGCTGGAGCACGTTATTTCTCTCAGCTCCCGCGAGTGGTGCAGGAAGCATCATGTGAGCGGGCAGTACACCGATAACACGGTACTGCGATGCTAAGTGCGTTTGGTAGCAACTGAACCCGAAATCTGGAGATGCTGGGGTAGTGCAGTATTAACCTTCATGCTGCTCAGCACCAGCCAGCTCTGCTTTGCCTGTGCCTGCGCTGTCATTCCTGATGATCCAAGGTTGTCACCTGCCTGTGGGTGAAGTCTCTTATAGCTGTGTTTTTCCTCACCCACGGAGTCAGATCGGGTGCAGAAGGGGAGGCTTGTGCAATCGGTAACCCCTGACTGCAGCCTCAGAGCTCTGACACTGCCGACCCGCTGACCGGCAGGTTTCGCTCTGCTCTAACACTGGCTGGTGCTCTGAATCTCTCCTTTCCCCTTTATTTTTTGGTCATTGCTGTGAAAGATTTGAATTATACCCATCGTGAATGAAACTTTTCCTTAAGAAATCATTGTTCTGCTTCTGTTTGTTTGTTTTTTAGTGGCCTATCTTATAATATTCCATATTCTCTTTGTGCTCTTTGTGTGGACATACTGGAAGTCCATTTTTACTCTCCCGGTGCAGCCAGGCAAAAAGGTGAGTCCAAGCGCTTTTCATTCCCTGCAGAACAAAAGCAGCGATGCTAAAGAGAACTCAAAAATCCTGCCAACTAGTTGATCTGGACAGCTGACTCGATTTCCCAAAGAGATGGAAAGTGGCCTGGAGTTGTTCATCAAAACTGAGCGATTTATCGTTCTGCATAGGGCCAGCAGCTCCAGTCCTTGTACCTCCCTGCCAGCGGCATTGTGGAAGACAAATGCTCAACGTGCTGTGGTGGAGAGAAGCTGGGGCTCACTGTGACAGCAGTGGATCGTTGCAGGAATAAGACTTTAGGGAGGGCTTTTTATTGTTTTTTGACGTAGGAGGCTTATTTTAGGACAAGAGTAGGGTTAAGCACAGGGCAGTCACGGGCAGATGTTTGTCTCGATTCTTCTTCTACCAAATGTTTACTTTTTCTTGGATTTGGTGGAAGTTTTTTACACTTTGTTCTACCTCTTTCTGAAACACTAATAAACCACTGTGTTTGGAGCAGGGGGATGAGGATGATGGTTGTGTGGCCATGATCTGATCCCAGTGGCAAGAATGTAAATTCCTAAATAACAACCGATCCCAGTGTTAGAAGCATAAAAGCGTGGCTGGGGACAGGTTCGTGCTGAGAAGGGAAGTGCCTGGTGTCCTTACCATGGTTAGTGAGGTTATTCACAAATGCATAGCAATCTGAGGCAGCCCTGGTAGCAATTCTGGCACACCGGGTTGTGATCTTAACTTCACTTTCGCGTTTCTTACCCGTGTGCCACACGTATTGTGGCTGTCCAGCACTTCCTGTCTTCTTAACACACGTTTACATTAGATTAATCTCGTTAGAGGGAGTGGGATGTAAAAATGTTTCCAAACTCTCCAGTATTTGAAATACTGTCGCTGCTACCACGGGTGACTGCTGCTGTCATGACTTCTGCTTCTAGTACCATATGTCCTACGCTGACAAGGAACGCTATGAAAATGAAGAAAGGCCGGAGGTGCAGAGGCAAATTCTCGCCGAAATTGCAAGGAAGCTGCCCGTGTACACGAGAACGGGGAATGGAGGTGAGCTAAGGAGAGGGCTTTGTTTCTCTAAGTCGAACCAAGCACACCACGGTAGCGCACGCTGGCGATCCAGGTGACGCTGCTGGCGCACGGGGCCTTCCCAACGCCACGGCACGCACTGAGTAACTCCTGTGTGAGTAACGGGAACGCCTTCTCTCCCAGGTTTTGTGTGTGGGGAGGCAAAAAAGCCCTGAACGTGTCCGTTCACCCTCTGAGGAGTGCCCGGTGCTGCCGCTGAGCAGCACGAGAGCTGCGCTCGTTGTTGCTTAACCCGGCGTCCTGCTCAGCGATGCAGGACACCATCCTGCGGCAGCTTCCCGGGCCCTGTTCTGTGATGAAACGCGTCCGGCGCTCCTTTCAAAGCTTAAAAGAAATGTATGTTCATGTTGGAGGCTCCGACCTGCTCGTTCCTGTCCGAAAAGGCACAGGATTAGGAAGTAAAGGGCCACTACAGAGGCAGTTACCAAAACAGAACGTAGCTGAAGTCTGAGCAGATGTGGAAGCCAGAGGGAAGGTGCATTTTTGGTTTATTGCTTTTAAGCTGGCTGTGTGCTTTGCCGTGAGGATTGTTCCCTGCCTCTGCCCGTCTCCAGAAGGATGAGCATTGCTTATCTGACCCTGACCTGGCAGCACAAATCAGCTGCCCAATGCACTCACCGTTTGAGGTGACAGAGGAAGGAATCTGAGTTACTGGGAAATGAGCAGAATATCAACTGAAAAGTGGGGAAAAAAGAACACTTTTCTATTATTGGGTATTAATGTGTCTTTAATTTCAGGTGTTCGATTCTGTGACCGATGCCAGCTAATCAAACCCGATCGCTGTCACCACTGTTCCGTTTGTGCTGTGTAAGTTACTGGGTTGTTTGTCACCAAAGTGAATTCAGTCACCACCAAGGTAGGTGACTGGGCTGGGACTTCACCCATCTTTTCACACCCCATGGTACCCCCCAGCCCTGTTCCAGCTGCCTCAGCAGCGCCTGTTCCTGTGTGTCAGCATCAGCATTTGCATTTCTGCTCTTGGTGGCCCTCAGGTGTTCGCAGTTCCCACTCCGACGAGTGTATCCCTGTGTCGTTGCTAGAAAGCGTGCCATCTAGTGAAATGAACTGATTAACCTCGGCAGGTTAAAAGGAAGAATGATCGTGAGAGGGTTTTGTGTTTGGTTGGGTTTTGATATTCCTACAAGGAAGCTGTGGGGGACTTTTTACAAGGGCCTGTAGTGACAAGACAAGGGCTAACAGGCTTAGATTGGAAGCAGAGAGGTTTAGATTAGGTATCAGGAAGAAGTTCTTCCTGGAGAGAGTGGGGAGGCGCTGGGACAGGTTGCCCAGAGAAGCTGTGGATGCCCCATCCCTGGGAGTGTCCAAGGCCAGGCTGGATGAGGCTTGGAGCAACCTGGTCTAGTGGAAGGTGTCCCTGCCCATGGCAGGGGGTAGGACTGGATGGTCTTTAAGGTCCCTTCCAACCCAAACCATCCTGTGATTCTATGATTCTATGATTCCAGGCCTTTACCTGTGGTGCTTTGCAGGTTTTAAGCCCTCTAGGGCAGAAATAATTGTAATTTCTTTTTATCTTGCAGAGTAGCAAGGTCATTGGTTGATCTTGAACAAGTAGTGAATGTTTGATCTTAAAATGATACCACTCAAAAGATTCCAAGTGCCAGTATCGTCTGGAGTTTGTGTCCCGTAGCGGTCTTACAAAAACCAGAGGCTTTTACTGTTGATCTGCTGTCGGCAGTTCAGTTCCAAATAACGACTCTTCCCTTTTTCTTTCTCGTCCTTTTGCAGATGTGTGCTGAAAATGGATCATCACTGCCCCTGGTAGGTGCCAGGTACCCGTATGTGATCTCGGCAGAGAGCGTTCCTGCGCGGAACGGTGCCCGTATGCCGCTCTCGCTTTAGACCATCCTTATGGTGGAAAATATATAAAATAATTAAACTCTGAAATTGCCTGAAGTATTTGATATTTTGAAAGACAGATCATTCGTGTTTGTTCCATAAATGAGTGAAAAAGCTGTTGTATCCCTCCAATTTAAACCCCGACTGCTAATTCACTCTGACTCGAGTTCTATTTAACGTTGACCGCTAAGGGGAGCTATTGCCGACGGAGTCGTGTTGTGTGGCTTCAGAAAACCAAAAACCCGCAGTGGCCGTGGCCTTTCGGCTGTGCTGCACGTATCCTGATTGTGACTTTGCTTTTGTTCTCCAGGGTGAATAACTGCATTGGATTTTCTAACTACAAATTCTTTCTGCTGTTCTTGGCCTATTCCCTGTTGTACTGCTTGTACATCGCTGCAACAGTCTTCAAGTATTTCATTAAGTATTGGACAGTAAGTCATGAAATCCGGTTACTTTTTCATCTCCTGTGCTTTTTTATCGTGGGGTTTAGTCACCCGTGTTGGTGTTTCGCTTTCAGTCAGGGGCGGGTCTGCGTTTCTTCCCAAGGCAGCGAGTGCCCCAAGCCCTTTTTTGGGTAGAACTGCCACTGTGTGTTTGAAATGCACAAAGCGAGAAGCAAATAAAGTGCAGGAATTTCAAACTGTGGAGTCAGCTCCTGGAAAAGCAGTTGTATCCTTTTCCTGCTCTTGTGTGTGCGTGGCTGTACCTCAGAACCTCTGGTATCGGAGTGTACATCCTGGCGTTGCGCTGGCCCTCTTCACCCAACAGTGTCAGAAACCTTGGGCGTTTTCTAATCCCCAAACAACTCCTTCACTTGAGTTGGCTGAAGCAGAGCGTGCTGCTTACTCAGTCCCGTTACCGCTCCTGCGCAGGCAGAGCCAGTGGCAGTTCCAGGAGGAGACCAGCACTTCGTCTCCAGTTTTCGTGTGTTCCCTGCCGCTAGCTCGGTGAGACTGTGCTGAGTGACCTGACTTTGCTGCGCGCTCACTTACCGAATGGCTGCTGCTTGGGTGGCTGATTGCACAGCATCCTCCTGAGAGGCTCTGGGACACCAGCAGGAGCTGGCTTTAGGCGCGGGAGACTGGCGTTCTGCGCCGGCGGGTGTGCAACGAGCAAAGGCTGGGAAGTGGGTTTTTTACTTCGAGGTCCTCACAGGCATCTGTAGATGCTCATGAGGATCTCTGGCACGTGACCCTTCTGCTGGAGAGGGAATAAGCGTTCCTCCTGCTTCTAGGGTCCCGCTTGGCTTTTAAACTTTTCCAGACCATCTCTGCTGTGTTGTAACGCCCCGATGACTGTAGCTACGGAGGCCGGGTTTTCTTGGCGTGCCTTGTGTAGCAGGAGGTGCAGAATTGTGGAGTATGGGCTGGAGACAGCAGAACGTAACAGGGCTTCAAGAGCTCGTGCCTGCTTAGTTCCCTGTGGGCACGGGGTGTCTTGTCCCCAGGCAGGAGGCTGTGACTGTTCTGGCTCTGTTAGAGGGAGAAACAAACCCCACCTTCTGCTGCGCTTACAGAGGGGAAAGGAACCAGATCATTGGTCTTGTCTTGCCTTTCCTAGTCAGGTGTGACACGTATGCAAGTTTGAGAGCGCCAGCTAGGAGTTATTAAGTTGTACAATCTTTCCTCTCTCTAGGAGCAAAGAATTTCCAGCTTTTATTTGTTCTGATCACTTGTTCTGTGTTGCTTTTCTTTCCAGGGTGAACTGACAAACGGACGTTCCAAATTCCACATCCTCTTCCTTCTCTTTGTGGCGGTCATGTTCTTCGTAAGCCTTATGTTTCTGTTCGGCTACCACTGCTGGCTCGTTAGCAGGAACAGATCTACTTTAGGTAAGGTGCTTGTCTTGTCTTCCTTCTTTAAGACACCACAACAGTCAGTAACGTGAAACAAAAAGGCATTTGTGTTGTATACGTTCCTGCTGGATTATGAGGGGAGGGAGATTTAAGATCTTGGCACAGAGCTGCAGAAATTTGTAGCTTCAGATGAGCGGCACTTACTAGCTGTTGTGACAAAAGCTTTCTTAGGGAGAGGAGAGCCTTAAAGTGTAAAAGTCCAATTACACAAATGTTACGCATATGTGTAACTGCATTGGCTGTGAAATGAGGCAGCTTTTGAGGAATAACGGTTCTTCATGCTCGTGCTGGAGCACGTCCCAAGCCAGCGCGGTAGGGCTGGGAAGACCAGCGTCCGTCCTCACTGACAAAGACATTCTGACTGTGACACCCGTGAAATGAACATCTGGAACAGTGTGCCCCTGTGGAGTGATTTCTGTGCCTTTCCTCAGATAAATGTTGGTCAATTTTTAAAGCTTTCTGGATGGAGTTTTAGAACAAAACACACAGTCAGGAGCTGGAGGAACCATTCAGGTTTTGTACAGTTACTACCTGTAAAACACACTTCATGGGCAGTGAAGCTCATCTATCCCAAAACATCAGACCCCTGCAGCAGCTTAGAGGGAGACACAATTGTTTCTACTCTAGGTTCTCCTCCTCCCTTTCTTTTCCTAATCTTACAGAGGGTCTGTTTGCATATGTTTGTTCCTAATGCTTGTTCATGACATCATTAATGAATGAGGCGATTTCAGTCTCCACTTTGCATTGAGGACCGACCTGCTTATCTCGGCAGATTTTTACTTAGAAATTTCTACCCACGCAGTTTCAACAAGTCTCATGTTTTAACTCTTTTCCCCACATTCAACAAACCGTGTGTAGTTCAGCCTGGTCTGGTGGAAGGTGTCCCTGCCCATGGCAGGGGGGTTGGAACTGGATGATCTTTAAGGTCCTTTCCAACCCAAACCAGTCTGTGATTCTATGATTCAGTTTGACTGTTCCACATGGCTCATTCGCGCAGTCAGGGTCCTACCTGCAGTTTCAAGGTCTTCGCAGGCTGGCAAAAAGAAAAAGCTGCTGTTTTCAAACCCTGTCTCTCTGCAGTGCTGCTTCATAACCTGCTAACCATGTTGTCTGTAGATGCCTGCCGCATGCGCAGTCCTCTTTCGGAGTGTTTGGCATTGATTTTTGATGTTTTTCACTGAAATTGCATCTGTGCAGAGGCTTTCTCAGCTCCCGTGTTTCAAAATGGCCCCGATAAAAACGGATTCAACCTTGGCTTTGTAAAGAACCTTCAGCAAGTGTTTGGAGAAGAAAAAAAGCTCTGGTTGCTCCCTATTGCCTCTAGGTAAGTGATAATCAAGTCAGTGCTAAAAGCTGATGCGATTAGCTGGAGGGACTGACCTCTCAATGCCTGCTACAGCCTCCTGTGTTCCATCAGTTACTGCGTGGCTCTGCATCGTTACAAATGCACCAGCGAACCTCGGCTGTGGTCACGCTGTTGGGCAGAGCTCTGGAGGGTTCTGGGGGGTAAAGGCCTGCGTAGCGTGGTTGGGCGTTCTCCCTGGGCTGCCGTGGCCCGGGTGTGGTTGGGTGTTCGCTGCAGAGACACCGCTCTCATCTGTCCCACAGCTCTGCCTGGGACAGTTTATGCTCCTTATGCAGGGGAGAACGTTGGTTGGGCACTTAGTAGACCTGTAGTAAAGTACGCTGAAGTCTAATTCCGTTAGTAAATGGGCACAGTTTAAAATAAGGAATTCCCAGCACAGCAGTCCCAGCTGTTTCAAACAGCAGTGCGTGCGCCTGAGGCCCAGCTGCATCCCCACTGCCATCAGCTTCCCGCTCTGAAGTACAGTTCAAGGGGAAAGAGGAGCACAGAAGGCTGTTCCGTGCTCAGGCGCGTGACCCGTCTGTGTAGGAATCGCAGGGAGAGCGCTCAGGGTGTGCTGCTGGCACCGGGATCAGCTGGTGTGTGGTCCCACTGCCCGTGCTGCTGTGGGGTGCAGAGCAGGCCGGACCGTGGAGCTCTAACTGCGCTGCCTTGCGGGACCGGAGTCTCGGCGCACTCTGGCACGTGGCGTCCACGTGCCTGTCTGCTGGGGCAGTAGTAGCGCAAAAAAAGCTTCTCCAGCTTTAGATCTTGGCAGCGTGGGTTTTGGGGTGTTTTTTCTTATTTTGTGGACAGGTTTAGGTCACAACATGGGGCTGTTACCTGTTGTTCAGTAACATCTGGGGAAGATCAGGGCCGTTTTCTGTGGGGTGTCACGCACAGAAGTGTAATTTCTGCCCTGGAGAATCTGTGGTGTAAAGCGGTAACGTGTATTCCTGTGGTGTAAGTGGCTCCTACATAGATGTTTTCCTTTGTTTGCCCTCATAAGCTGACTTTTTTCTGCTCTTTTACCCACGGCTGGATTGCAGCAGGCACGCTGGGAATGGCTTTGTTGCAGGCTGTAGGTTTGAGCATTCATTCTCCAGAGAGCTTGTAGGAATTGAGGACCAAAACCACTCGCTAGTGGAAGCTCTGTCGGAGCTGCCACAAAAAATAAACCCAGTGTTGTTCAAAACTTAAACCTAATTCCAAGTACACACTGGAAATTCAAGCAGCAGGGAACTCTGCGGATAGAACTGGTGGAAGTTGTCATCCTGCAGAGCCACTTGCTGCTTCACAGTGTCTTTCTCTGCCTTTTCCACGCAGCCAGGGCGATGGACATTTTTTCCCAATGAGAGCTTTGTGTGAAGCTCAGAACCCTCTCCTGGCAAACGAGGAGCAGTGGGAAGATGATGGAATAGACGAAGAGCCTCATGGTAAGGTAACGCGGAAGGGAATGAGTTGTGTTGTGTTCTCCCGTGGCTAGTGGATGGATTGCAAGAGCTGATCAAATACAAGAACTGTGTTGGCTGAGTCACTGGGCAGCTCTGACCTGACTAATGAAACAGCCTAAAAATAATCCCTACTTTGGAGTCAACTCCTCCCTTTTCTAGTAGCCGTCTCCCTGCAAGTGAGCGGATGGAGCGGCGGTTGCAGGCTGCAGAGGGAAGGTGAGATTTCCCCCAGCGGGGTGTGTCAGGTGTAAGTGCTGCCGCATGCAGCAGTTACTGCAGACAAAGTTGTGCCCCTAAAACTGCCACAGAGGACACTGATGTGCCGAGAGCAGTTCCAGGTGAACAGCTCTGACATCCTGCTTTTAGCAGGCCTGGGAATGACTCCAAAAGTATGAATTCGGGAATTTTGTCTTACTCCTTTAGCTGCCACAGAATGTGTTTGTTTAATAGGCCAGTGTGTCTCACTTCATGACGTTTGCAGGTGGGGGAAACAATGTCCGTGCTAACCTCTCTGTGTCTCAGGCAGGTTATGAAGGTGGGTTCATGCACATAAGTTGCTTTGAGCTTCTCGGGTGTTGGTTACAACCCGGTACAGTTCTGCAGTAGAGCAAGTTGTTGCTGTGGCCTACCGTCAGCAGGCTGCTGCCGAGGGACCGGCGCTCTCAGGCCAGTTGTCACCTTAAACAGTCCCCGCAGCTGCAGGCTGACCTCGAGCTTACAATCATAGAATCATAGAATGGTTAGAGTTGGAAGGGACCTTAAAGATCATCTAGTTCCAACCCCCCTGTTGTTCCTCTTCATCAGCCGAAACCACCTCAGCACCGAGGTTTGAACTGCTCATGTGTGGCTTCAGTCTGACCTCCCCAGCTTTCAGTTTGTCAAGATTTGGGCTGGAACTGCGTGTCTTCTAAGCTTAGAGTTATTCCAGCTGGCACAACAGAAGTGAACCAGGGTAATTTCCTAACCAGAAAGGCCTGAAATGTTCCATGAAGGCTGGAAGATCTTTATTTGTCTTTGTGGCTTTTAAGCTTGGGACACAGTTAATAACCATAACCTCAGTTTAAAAACTGCTGTTCCATTATCTCTGACAAGCGGTTGTCTGTTTTTAGTCGGCATGATTCTGCGAAACACACTCCCATGCTTGGTGATAAATACATTCTCAGTGAGAAAACCAGGTTTACTGAGCTCTAACTATGGGTTTCATTCTGTAGGTTCTGGCGAAGCTTCGTCCCTTGCCGTAGAAAGGGAGACGTAGCAGTTTGGAGACGCAGCAGCGTAAAGCTTGTTGACAAAGGTCAGTGGCTCTTCCTTATGTTCCCAATGGCCGCTCTGCGGTGCGGCTGGTGGGTGGGGTGGGACGGGATCTAATGGCGGCACA